TCCTGACATCTAGTTCCCACCACTGCTCCCCTTCCATGGCTCTGGTGTCCCATCTTAGAGGCGGTGGTGCCCTTCTGCTGTTGCCAGTCTCTGCGTTGTTTCACTGTTTGGCCTCTCAGCTCTTCCCATACAGTGAGTGGGTAAACAGATTTCTGTATTAAATTCCTTCTGAAATACCTGGTGGTCTCTATTTACTTGGCTAGACCTTGACTGATGAATGGCTCATGTAACATCGTCCATCAGGGGACTTATGATAGGTTGGAGAGTAAAGAATTAAATATATGTAGCCTGTAATCCCAGCACTTTGGGAGGCTGAGGTGGGTGGATCATCTGAGGTCAGGAGTTCTAGACCAGGCTGGCCAACATGGTGAAACCCTGTCTCTACTGAAAATACAAAAACTAACCGGGCATGGTGTTGCATGCCTGTAATCCCAGCTACTGATGGGCTGAGGCAGGAGAATCGCTTGAACCCAGGAGGCGGAGGTTGCAGTGAGCTGAGATCATGTCGCTGCACTCCAACCTGGGTGACAGAGCAAGACTCTGTCTCAAAAAAAAAAAATATATATATATATATATGTGTGTGTGTGTGTGTGTATATGTGTGTGTGTGTGTATATATATGTAAAATACTAGTAAAATAAAATGTAGAGATTCCATACATGTACTAAAAATCACCGAGTTATTAGCTGGGCTTGGTGGCTGACACCTGTAATCTCAGCTACTTGGGAGGCTGAGATGGGAGGATCACTTGAGCCTGGAGGTCAAGGCTCCAGTGAGCTGTGCTTGTACCACCGCATTCTAGCCTGGGTGACAGAGCAAGTATCTGTCTCAAAAAAATAAAATATCAGCCAGGCGTGGTGGCTCACGCCTGTAATCCCAGCACTTTGGGACGCCAAGGTGGGTGGATCACAAGGTCAGGAGTTTGAGACTGGCCTGGCCAATATGGTGAAACCCTGTCTCTACTAAAAATACAAAATTAGCCGGGCATGGTGGCGCACGCCTGTAATCCCAGCTACTTGGGAGGCTGAGGCAAGAGAATCACTTGAACCTGGGAGGCAGAGGTTACAGTGAACCAAGATGGTGACATTGCACTCCAGCCTAGGCAACAAGAGTAAAACTCTGTCTCAAAAATAAATAAATAAAATAAAATATTCAGGAGAAAATAAATGAAAAATGAAAAATGAGTAGATTAGTGATCTCCAAACATTTTTATCACACTCCCCTAATGGCAAGAAACAACATTTGAGCTTGCACCTCCATATTTATGTACTTATTTACTCAAATTATATACATGTTAACCCCGTTCGTATATGATGCCTTATAAAATAGCTACAAAATATAGATTTAAACAGAAAAACAGGCAAATAGAAGTCCTGGTGATTCATTGCTTTACCTCAGTGAGTCATCTTACACATCTCCTGTGGTGCCTACCCCACTTTGAAATCATCAACCGCAATAGAAGTGGCCGTCAAAGAGCTCTGCAAGGGACTGCAAGAAAGAAGGACTGGGGGCTGGGTGCGGTGGCTCACACCTGTAATCCCAACACTTTGGAAGACCGAGGTGGGTGGATTACAAGGTCAGGAGTTTGAGACCAGCCTGTCCAATATGGTGAAACCCTGTCTCTACTAAAAATACAAAAATTAGCTGGGCATGGTGGCAGGTGTCTGTAGTCCCAGCTACTGGGGAGGCTGAGGCAGGAGAATAACTTGAACCTAGGAGGCAGATGTTGCAGTGAGCTGAGATTGCCCCACTGCACTCCAGCCTGGGCTACAGAGTGAGACTCCGTCCCAAAAAAAAAAAAAGGACTGGGGAGTTCTTTCTTTTTTTTTTTTTAAAGGGGGGTTTAAATTAGGCTAATGCAGCAATAACAGCCACGATTTTGATGTTTACACATTTCTTTACAGTTCTTGGAGTCTCGCTCCATGGCCCAGGCTGGAGTGCAGTGGCGCAGTCTCAGCTTACTGCAAGCTCTGCCTCCCAGGTTCATGCCATTATCCTGCCTCAACCTCCTGAGTAGCTGGGACTACAGGTACCCGCCACCACGCCCAGCTAATTTTTTTTGCATTTTTAGTAGAGACGGGGTTTCACTGTATTAGCCAGGATGGTCTCGATCTCCTGACCTTGTGATCCACCCGCCTCAGCCCCCCAAAGTGCTGGCATTACAGACAGTTCTTAAATGCTTTCTGACCTGTGTTATCTCATTGACCCCTTCAAATAATGAGAAAGGAAGTGAATCAAAATAGGATATAGATTGGGGAAAACTTGAATGCCTGACCAGAGGAGTTTGGACTTAATCATAAAAGTGATGATGCGTTATCAGATGTGTCACATCACAGAGCAGATATTTACAGTTCAAAGTCCCTCCCTAAATGATTGGCCTCACCCACAATGACTGGGTGGAGCCACCGAAAGAAAGGCATGGAGCAACACTTGTTCCTGCATCGCCCCTCAAAAAAGCAGATCCCAGTTCTCTGAAGATAAATGAAAGGCAGCCATGAACTTCCCCCTCTTTGAGGTTTATCTTTCAGCACGTTAGAACCTCAGAACAACAGAGAATTAGTAGGCTTAGCCAACTATCCTCCTATCCTTTCTCTTGTGTGCTAACGTTCCATATACTATTACTGGTGTATTCTCTCTCCAAAATGATGCCTTGGTACATTTATGTGGACCTCTCAGCCGGGAGTATGTATGTAGCTGTTGTCACTCCAAGACATTTTCTCTGTGCCCTGTGTCTATTTCTCCTTCAGCTGCCTGAGCTCAGGGGGTTATGTTTTACACATCATATTCAGCTCCATATCCAGGAAGCAAAACTGGACTTTGTCCTGATCCCACTTTATCCCTTTCTCCCAATCCTGTCCCCCACCTGCTGAGCTGCCCGTCCTGCTCACTGCAGGAGCACTATGAGAACCACCTGGAGTGGCCGATGGGATAGGGCTTTGAAAAGTACAAAGCTGCCCTCTGCAGTAAACACCCTAAAGAAGAGGTCCTCAACACCCAGTCTTCAGACCAGTACACGTCCCTGGCCTGTTAGGAACCAGGCAGCACAGCAGGAGGTGAGTGGCGGGCAAGCAAGCATTACTGCCCCAACTCTGCCTCCTGTCAGATCAGTGGTGGAATTAGATTCTCATAGGAGCGCAAACGCTATTTTGAACTCCACATGCGAGGGATCTAGGTTGCACACCCCTATGAGAATCTAATGCCTCCCACCCCTGTCCGTGGAAAAAGTATCTTCCATGAAACTGGTCCCTGGTGCCAAAAAGGTTGGGGACCACTGCCATAAGTGGTTGGTAAATGAACCAGCTGAAGCAAAGGAAATAATGACACTATTTATTGCTGAGGCTCATGTCATTTTTGTGCTGAAAAACCTCCTGTGACTCTCCTTTGCCCAAAGTTCGAAAGGGGGCCAGTTAATGACCTTTGTCCATAGGGAAGTGATAACAACCTGCCTGGTAGGGAGCAGAGCCCATGTCCTCTCAGCAGCATTATGGGTGTTGCTGTAGGACCTGACCAAAAGAGAGATAGGTATCAGTTTATAAGATTATTAATAATATTTTCAAAAAAGGGGGCCAAAGTAGGCCTTGGTCTCATATCAGGTGACACCATAGATCAAAGCACAAAAAAGAGACAGGAAGGATTTCAGCAGGTTGGAGAAGGAGATAGATAGGCCTGTGGTGTGGCCAGGTGGAGACACAGATAAGTTGCAGTTTATTCTGGTAAAGACTTTTGTACCTAACATGCAGCAAGCTCCAGTCCTGATGGAGGGGGGATGTAGCCAGCTCCCTACTGCTAAAGCATTTTGGCTTTGCAGGCAAAACCTGCATTCAAAATCTAACTCTAACAGTCTTGCAAACAAGCTACTTAACTTCATTGATAAAGGCTCTGTCAAAGGCCAGGCATGATGGTTCACACCTCTAATCCCAGCACTTTGGGAGGCTGAGGCAGGCAGATCACCTGAGGTCAGGAGTTCAAGACTAGTCTAGCCAACATGGTGAAACTTCATCTCTACTAAAAATACAAAAAAGTAGCTGGGTGTGGTGACGGGCACCTGTAATCCCAGCTACTTGGGAGGCTGAGTAGGAGAACTGTTGGAACCCAGGAGGTGGAGGTTACAGTGAGCTAAGATCACGCCACTACATTGCAGCCTGGGCAACAGAGCAAGACTCAGTCTCAGGGAAAAAAAAAAAAAATTAGCCAGGGGTGGTGGTATATGCCTGTAATCCCAGCTACTCGGGAGACTGAGGTGGGAGAATTGCTTGAACCCAGGAGGCGGAGGTTGCAGTGAGCCACTGTACTCCAGCCTAGGTGACGGAGCAGTAATTCTAGCACTTTGGGAGGCCGAGGTTGGGCCGATCACCTGAGATCAGGAGTTCGAGACCAGGCTGGCCAACATGGTGAAACCCCATCTCTACTAAAAATACAAAAATTAGCCGGGCGTGGTGGTGGGTGCCTGCAATCCCAGCTACTCAGGAGGCTGAGGCAGGAGAAACGCTTGAACCCAGGAGGCAAAGATTGTAGTGAACCGAGATCTCACCACTGTACTCCAGCCTGGGTGACAGAGGGAGACTCCATCTCAAAAAAAAAAAAACTCCGTCAAAAGGTGTTCATGAGGTTAATGAAATAACATATCTTTGTACTTTTTATTAAAGTACTGTTACTATTATTCTCATAAAGTGCATATCATCATGCCTTGTGCTCAAGTTCATTTTTAACACATTTGTCTCCCCAACTTGTAAACAGAGCCTTATCTCGTTGATATTGTTTCTTCCCCTCAGCAATAAGCATAAAGCTCCAAAAGTGTGTTGTGTGGAATTGTGCATTAATTTCTAGTTGTCTCATGTTTGTGAATTTCACCTTAACTGAAATCTGAGGAAGCTTAAGGGCAGGGACCCCTTACCCCCAATGTAATTATCACAAAACCGGGCATGCACCTACTTACTGGAGCTTAGGGAGAAGGTTGCGCCTGATTAGAAAAGGTGTTCAAGTTGTGCTTCTCCCTTGTAGGGATTTCCCAGATGACCCAGGTGTGCAGTGGGACACAGAGCATGTGGCCAGCGTCCTCCTCCAGCACATAGAAGTGAATGGCATCAATCTGGTAAGGGGACAGCTCCCTGAATGGAAAGCCTGAGGTCTTGGTCCCATTCACACCAGGTGGTTTCTGTAATTTTTCCTGTGGCTGCCCTCCCACTTCCAGTCCTTCTCCAGGGCCACTCTCTAAGGAGGCCAGAACTTCCAATGCTCACTGTTAAACCTACTGAGGAACAAACATGCCTTTTGATATCTTTACTATCTTTTGTGAGACTGAATAACTAAATTATCAATGCTCAGATAGAGGCAGAAGTTTTTTCTAAACTGTGCCCTCCTTAACACCCTCAAGCCCCTGCGTTTGTCCTGACACCTAAAAACTCAGGTCTCCCATAGCCTGCCCAATGATTCTCATTTATACAAAACTTCACCTCACTGTTTACCAAGCATTTTCACAGAATATCATCTTAACTTTAAAAGTAAACTTTGGGCCGGGCGCAGTGGCTCATGCCTGTAATCCCAGCACATTGGTAGGCCGAGTTGGACAGATCACCTAAGTCGGGAGTTCCAGACCAGCCTGGCCAGCATGGTGAAACCCCGTCTCTATTAAAAATACAAAAATTAGCCGGGTGTGGTTGTGTGTGCCTGTATCGCAGCTACTTGGGAGGCTGAGGCTCGAGAATCACTTGAACTTGGGAGGCAGAGGTTGCAGTGCGCAAAGATTCTGTTACTGCACTCCATCCTGTGCGGCAGAGCAAGACTCTGTCTCAGAAATTTTTAAAAAAAGTAGGGCCGGGCGCGGTGGCTCAAGCCTGTAATCCCAGCACTTTGGGAGGCCAAGACGGGCGGATCACGAGGTCAGGAGATCAAGACCATCCTGGCTAACACAGTGAAACCCCATGTCTACTAAAAATAATACAAAAAACTAGCCGGGCGAGGTGGCGGCGCCTGTAGTCCCAGCTACTCGGGAGGCTGAGGCAGGAGAATGGCGTAAACCCAGGAAGCGGAGCTTGCAGTGAGCTGAGATCCGGCCACTGCACTCCAGCCTGGGTGACAGAGCGAGACTCCGTCTCAAAAAAAAAAAAAAAAAAAAAAAAGTAAAATTCTCAGTTTACGTTGAAGAAACAGGTTTTGCAGAGGCCAAGCAGCTTGTCCAAGGTAAGCAAGTGGTGGTGAAGCTAGGATTTTTAAGCGTTGATTTCTTCATTCCAAAAAAACCATGAGAATGCATTTATACCCACTAAGGAAGAAAATTTTACATGCAATTAGAGCAATAGCAGAGATTCGTATTTACTGCAAAGGTGGACAAGCCAAGCAACACCAGTCTCAGCTCTTCTAGGATCAGCAGGACTGCTTAGCCCATAGTCAATTTTAAAGCTGCCAAGGAGGCTTACTGTCTCAAAAAATATATAGTAATCCTTCATGAGATAATACCTAAAATTCCACATTTAAAGCCTCACTCATTTGGCTTGAGTTTTGATTAAGTTCTCATTAAACATGAATCCTGCTGGCAGAGAAACATATGAGGCTTTTTTTTTTTTTTTTTGGCACAGGTTGTCCCTCTGTTGCCCAAGCTGGATTGCAGTGGCTGCCTCAGCCTCCCAAGTAGCTAGGACTATAGGCACATACCATCATGTCCAGGTAAATTTTTTTTTTCTTTTTTTCTTTTTTTTTTCCTGAAATGGAGTCTCCCTCTATCGCCCAGGCTGGAGTGCAGTGGCGGGATCTTGGCTCACTGCAACCTCCGCCTCCTGGGTTCAAGTGATTCTCCTGCCTCAGCCTCCCGAGTAGCTGGAACTACAGATGAGTTCCACCACGCCAGGCTAATTTTTGTTTTTTGTTTTTTGATTTTTGGTTTTTTTTGAGACGGAGTCTCGCTCTGTCTCCCAGGCTGGAGTGCAGTGACCGGATCTCAGCTCACTGCAAGCTCCGCTTCCCGGGTTTAATGCCATTCTCCTGCCTCCCTCCTGAGTAGCTGGGACTACAGGCGCCCACCACCTCGCCCAGCTCGTTTTTTGTATTTTTTAGTAGAGACGGGGTTTCACTGTGTTAGCCAGGATGGTCTCAATCTCCTGACATTGTGATCCACCGGTCTCGGCCTCCCAAAGTGCTGGGATTACAGGCTTGAGCCACCGCGCCCGGCAATTTTTGTATTTTTAGTAGAGATGGAGTTTCACCATGTTGGTCAGGCTGGTCTCAAACTCCTGACCTCGTGATCCACCCACCTCGGCCTCCCAAGTGCTGGGATTACAGGCGTGAGCCACCACACCCAGCCAATTTTTAATTTTTTTTTTTTTTTTTTTTTTTTTTTTGAGACAGTCTTGCTCTGTCCCCAGCTGAGTGCAGTCCCCCCCCCCCCCCCCCCCCCCCCCCCCCCCCCCCCCCCCCCATTTTTTTTTTTTGAGGATACAGTCTTGCCTCCTGGTCGCCCCAGGCTGGAGTTGCAGCGGCTTTTTTTTTTTTTTTTTTTTTGCTGAGTGCAGTCGCACGATCTCCACTCACTGCAAGTTCCACCTCCTGGGATCACACCATTCTCCTGCCTCAGCCTCCCGAGTAGCTGGGACTACAGGCGCCTGCCACCACGCCCGGCTAATTTTTTGTATTTTTAATAGGGAAGGGGTTTCCCTATATTAGCCAGGATGGTCTCGATCTCCTGACCTCATGATCCACCCACCTTGGCCTCCCAAAGTGCTGGGATTACAGGCATCAGCCACCATGCCCGGCCTAAATTTTTTTTTTAGTTACAGGATCTTGCTATGTTGGCCAGGCTGGTCTCCATCTCTTGGGCTCAAGCTATCCTCCCTCACTGGCCTCCCAAAGCACTGGGATTACAGGTGTGAGCCACTGCACCAGGTCCTGAGAGCAGATTTTCATTGATATATTGATTGAACTGTTTTTGTTTTCTAATGACAGAAATACAACTGAAATTTAGTACACAGAGGCCAAAACAGGCACTTAACTGACTCACCCTGAGTCACATAAAGGCTGAGCTACAGATGGGCCTCAGATACCCCAACCCTACCAGGACTCATCTCCATCTTGCTCTGCATGTTGGCTTTATTCCTTTTCCTGGCTGGAAAAATGGTCACTGGCAGCTTGCAGGCCCCACAATCTTGCTTACCCTTCCCAGAGGGTCTGAGCATGAAAGCAGTAGTGTTAGATCCATGGGCTTAGGAATAATGCCCAGCTGTGCTGACTGGGGCTTGCCTTGGTTCTCTTACTCCTCCTCTTCAGCCCACACAGTTGGAACTTCTCAGAGCCTCCACAGCCTAGATATGTAGACAGGGCTGAGGTTGGAAGTTGTCAGGGCCAGCCTGAAGTACCCCCTGGCACCTCATTTTCTATGCTAGTGGCTTCCCAGTCCCTAAATACTCTCTGTCCTCCCCTACTTCAGTGCACGAGAACTACTGGTCTTCAAGTTGCTCCTGCTGTAGGATACTCTCATCTTTTTTTTTCCTGTGAGACGGAGTTTCACTCTGTCTCCGTACTGGAGTACAGTGGCGTGACCTCAGCTCACTGCAACCTCTGACTCCCCAGTTCAAGCGATTCTCCTGCCTCAGCCTCCCGAGTAGCTTGGACTACAGGTGTGCGCCACCATGCCCAGATAATTTTTGTTTTTTTGGTAGAGATGGGGTTTCACAGTCTCTCAAAGTGCTGGGATTACAGGCGTGAGCCACTGCGCCCAGCCTACTAACAAATTTCTTGTGACACACTTGCTATTAATAAGGAAACTCAAGTTTACAGTACAGTTGAGAATGATTTCTCTGGCCTGCACTTAGTGCCATAGTAGAAGTATAAGATCATGCTAACACCGTGGCCAGTGTAGCTATAACTGGCCATCATTCGAGCTGAGCATGGGTTTCCATTCAGCCCAGAAGTTTCAACTGCACACAAGAGATGGTGGAACAGCAACACAGAAGCACAGACAGAGGTGTGGAGCACAGACCAAGCCACGGGGAGAGAGTTTCTCACCTGGGCTGAACCAGGATGAGAGCATAAGCTCTCCATCATCATCCAAAGCAAAACTGACTCTGCAGCCATCAATGCAGGAAACTGGGTTCTGTCTGGCCTCAGCTCTATAGTACTGCAGGAACATCACAAAGACCACAAGGAATAGCAGACAGGACAGAGCTTTGAAAAGTACGAAGGTGGCTGGGTGTGGTGGCTCACGCCTATAATCCTAGCACTTTGGGAGGCTGAGGTGGGAGGATCACTTGAGGCCAGGAGTTTATGACCAGCCTGGGCAATATAGCAAGACTCCATCTCTATTTTTAAATAAAATGAAATAAAATAAATGTTAAAAAGAAAAGTACAAAGCTACCATCCTTGGAAAGCAGCCTAGGGGGGTAGTAATGTCTTCTCTGGGTGTCAAGCAGGCTAGGTCCTGGGCCTCAACCCCTCTACCTCAACTTTCATCCAATATTTATTGAGTACTCAATATGGGACATTCACTATCAGTGGTGAACTGGCAATACAACAGTGAGCCAGAAGCACTTAGTCCTTGCTCCCATAGAGCAGGATGTGTCGGTGCAGCACTATTGCACATTTGAGACTGGAGAATTTGTTGTGGGGGTTGGCCTTGTGAATTGAAGGATGTTTAGCTGCATCCCTGGCCACTACCCACTAGATGTCAGTAGCAATCCCCCTCCTCAGTTGTCACAATCGAAACGTCTCTAGGTTGCATGCAATGGCTCACACCTGTAATTCCAACACTTTCAGAGGCTCAGGCAGGGGGTAGATCGCTTGAGACCAGCCTGGACAACACAGTGAGACCCTGCCTTTACAAAAAAATTTAAAAATTAGCTAGGTGTGGTAGCACACACTTATAGTCCCAGCTACTCAGAAGGCTGAGGCTGAGGTGGAAGAATCACTTGAGCCTGGGAGGTTGAGGCTGCAGTGAGCATGATCACGTCACTGCACTCCAGCCTAGGTGACAGAATGAGACCCTGTCTCAAAACAAAACAAAAAAACAAAAACCAGCTGGGCGCAGTGGCTCACGCCTGTAATCCCAGCACTTAGGGAGGCCGAGGCAGGCGGATCACGACATCAGGAGATCGAGACCATCCTGGC